TAGCCTTCAGAGGACTCAAGTGCTCATTCATCACATGCAGCCCCCAGAGAAACTTCAAACACAGACTCATCTTGATACCGTGTTTCCCCAAAAATAAGACAGGGTCTTATATTAATTTTTGTTCCAAATACGCACTAGGGCTTATTTTCAGGGGATGTTTTATTTTTTCCATGTACAACACTCTATGTTTATTCAAATACAGTCATGTCATCTTCTGGTTGCTGCACAATGGTGGAGGGCAGGCTTTCACTTAACTAGGGCTTATTTTGGGAGTAGGACTTATATTACGAACATCCTGAAAAATCATATTATGGCTTACAGTATTTTCAGGTTAGGTATTATTTTCAGGGAAACAGGGTAGTCCACATACAAAAAGACCAGAATTACTGAGGAAACAGTGCAGTACCATAATCTGCAGAGGGTAAGAACATGCATGGCATCCACTCTTTGAAAGACTGTGCTTTCACACGCTTTTACAAAAACTGCTTTTTTACAAACACACTGAAGGGAAAGAAGCTTCCATTAAACTCAGTGGGGCTGACATTTGCAGAAATATGTTTAGGATTAGGTTGCAAAGCATCAAACAAGGAGCAAGCACATGTGGGAATTTCTGCCTATATGTGATTTTTTCTGGCATGGAAAAATATGATGAGAGAAACAGAAATACAAGGCTACTAAATTTGGGTATATTCTTGCCTTTTTGAAAAAAAATATCATTGTTCAAGTCACTTTATGATTCACTATGTGATTACCTGAAGAAACACAGAAGTTCTAAGATTACTTATTTAAATTAATGTGTGAGCTAGCTCAGTGATTAAGAAACCTATATTCTAGACAAGAAGCTACTGTTAGGCCAGAATATGGAGAAGCAGAATGGATTCCAATAGGTAAATATGTAAAAAAAGAGTGTATTTTATCTATTTATCTCTTCAGTTTATATGCAGAATGATTCATATGGGAGCCTGATATACTCAGAAGGGCAACTACGGAGGAAGGATAAAAGATTCTCAGCTATAAGCATATATTACTTAGAAGTCAAGCACAAAATTGTCCATATTATAGTGTTCTAATTGAGGCATATGGGTGTGAAAGCTACACAATGAAAAAAGATTAGAGGAAAAAATTTACTCATCTGAAGCAGTGTCAGAGGCAAGCTTTACAGATTCCATTAACTGCCAGATAGGCAAATAAGTGAGATCTAAATTAAATCAAGCCTGAACTCTTACTAGAAGATAACATGAATAAACTGAGGCTATCATACTATAGACATATCATAAGACAAGACTCAGTGAAAAAGTAAATAATGCTATGAAAAGTGGAAGGCAATAGAAAAAGAGGAAGACTCAACATTAGATGGGTTAATTCAATAAAACAAGCCACAGCTTTTAGTTTGCAACACATGAGCTAATGATACGACTTCTTGGAGATCATTTTTTCAAATGGTTGGCATAAATCAGAAATTGCTTGACAGCACCTAACCAAAAAATAAAAAATAAAAAAAAATCAAGAGATGACAGAACAGGCAACTGAGTGATGACACAGGTGGCAGTGATCTATTTATGAAATTAGTTTTAAAACTGAGCACTAAATTCAAATATTAGTCCCAACTAGGGTAGACCTACTTAATGAGAAGACTTTTATGTCAAAATTCTATTGTGGACTTTCTTGTTATGTGCCATCAAATTGTAACTGACTTATAGAGACCCTAAAAATGCTTTCAAGTAAGTGAGATATTTAAGGATTACCAGTTCCACTCCCCCACTCCATGGCTGATTGGGAATTCAGACCCAGGCTTCCTGAGTCCTAGTCCATCACTCTATCCATTATACCAGTGGTCCCCAACCTTGGGCCTCCAGATGTTCTTGAACTACAACTCCCAGAAGCCTTCACCACCACCTCTGCTGGCGAGGATTTCTGGGAGTTGAAGTCCAAGAACATCTGGAGGCCCAAGGTTGGGGACCAGTGCATTATACTATATTGGGTTTCACATTGTGATCCTAGGCCACCACAAATCCACAACAGGATTCTAGCCATTAAGTCAACACTTATATACTGTAAGTCCCTTCAATTCACTGGGTCTGCTCTAGTTAGTAATGTATTTCACTATGCAGTAGAACGATACTGTACCATACAATAAAACAAATATTTCACTATATGCATTTGGCTTAGAAAACATTTTAAATTACTGCTACCTTGAAACAATGTATAAATAGAAATTTCAATAATTCAGATATAGTCTTCCTATCAGGGATATCAGATTTCAGGGTATTGGCCAACATCATAGGTAATTAGTGCTTTCTGCATTCTGAGGTAGGGAGTGAAATCTCAGGCTGAGTGGTGCTGGAGGAGGAAACACTATGTCTGTGTAGTGGGGTTTTTTTAAGCCTGAGCACCCATCTCTATCTATTCCTAATTAGTACCAGAGCTCACTACCTTAACATGAAGGTATTTTATAGCTATGTACTTGAACAACATTGGCACATCAGAAAGCCATTAGTTAAGGGAGAAGAATGTGTGCTGGTGAATATGTCTGCACTTCAACCCGTCATGTCATTTTGTGCAAGACAGAGAGTGGAGTTGGGAATATTCTAACTTCCAAATCTTCCTGCGGCACAAGGCTTTTAAAATCAAAAAGCTCCTCATGGGCTGCTAGTGAGCCCTCCATAGGATGATAGGACTGGACAAATTCCCCATGTGTCAAGTATATTTTAAGGCTGTATGGGATGTGAGCCTGAGCAGGAACAGTCTAAATTGTTGCTCCTCTTTGGTAGTTTCACATTTGCCCACTGATTGATTGATTGATTGATTGATTGATTGATTGATTGATTGATTGATTGATTGATTGATTGATTGATTGATTTGTCTGTCTCTCAGTTGCGTATTTAGTTTGCTGGAGCCATTTATAAAATTCCATTTGTGGCCCAGAAATAGTTTTGGCATTCTTTTCAATCTTGCTTGCCGAGTCTCTTGTGACATCACAGAGAGTCCTGTGTAGTTAAACTGCAGTACTATAGTCAAGTGTATGCTCGTGACCCGAGTCCAATCCCAAAGGTTCAGTTAGCTGGCTCAAGGTTAACTCAGGCTTCCATCCTTCCGAGGTTGGCAAAAGAATACCCAGCTCACAGGCGGGCAATGTGTTGTTTGAATAATTATAAATCACCCAGAAAGTGGTCTAGCACTATGGGGTGGTGTATAAAACAACAACAATAACATCACTATGGCCTGGCCTCTGGTCCCAGGTTTTGGCCCTGAAACCTCAGGGAATGGAATTATACTGGCATGGTAACCTTACCTCTTGTACATCACCTCTCTCTTGAAATGAAATACATCTATAGTTATATTTTGTTGAGACTGCTGACTCCAGAAAATAACCATGAATTTCAGCTTAAAATAACTCTCCTAATGGTAATAGCCTGTTCACTGCCTTCTATAAAAACTGTATGTCTAATGCAATCCATACTCTACTTGGCTAGTGAAACTTGTACTCCATAATTCCAGTATTTTTAACATGAGCAACACAAACAAAACAACAAACATCACTATGGCCTGGCCTCTGGTCCCAGGTTTTGGCCCTGAAACCTCAGGGAATGGAATTATACTGGCATGGTAACCTTACCTCTTGTACATCACCTCTCTCTTGAAATGAAATACATCTATAGTTATATTTTGTTGAGACTGCTGACTCCAGAAAATAACCATGAATTTCAGCTTAAAATAACTCTCCTAATGGTAATAGCCTGTTCACTGCCTTCTATAAAAACTGTATGTCTAATGCAATCCATACTCTACTTGGCTAGTGAAACTTGTACTCCATAATTCCAGTATTTTTAACATGACCAACACAAACTTAAATCTCATCAATAGTATACAAAAATTCATACTACAAAACAAAGAAGAAATATCTGGTTGTTTCTATAGGATGGGTCAGTGTTTTAACATGAGAAAAAAGTGCCACAGCTCAGCTACAGAGCATGTGCTTTGTACAGTACAGTATTATCTTCAGTTAGAAGCCTGTTTGAGCGTTACTATTGTTGCAGCTCAAATTCCAGTCCACTGAGATGAGTTACTTTAATCCCAATAAGCAAGAATAAGCCAGATCAAATCTGATGAATTGGTTCAAACTGCTGCGAAAAGCAATTTTCTCATCTGCAAATAAAGGTACCATACATGAATTATTCACTCCAAATAATTCCAACCCCAAGTGTTTTAAAGTCTTGGCTGAAGCCCAAAACACAATCAGATTAAGGACAAGTCAGTGAATTTGAAGAATAAATATTTTGGAATACATTTAATTTCCCTTCTGATTGCTAAATGTTTGGAACAGTTCATTAACTCTTTGAAGTGTTTCTCTGCTTCAGTGAATAATAAAAGCACTTTTTACAGTGATATTGTTCACATAAAATTGCTCCCAAGAAATCACTGAATTTTCAAAAGAACTTGTGGAATTAGACCCTACTTTCACGTTTCATGTCCAATAGACTTACAACCTTGTTCTTCATACTCTAAATATTTTATTTGTCCTCCCATAACAATTAGCCAGGAGGAAAACTGAAGGTCTGAGTTCTCATTTGTTTTGATTATGAATTCACCAAGCATGTTTGCACTCATGGTTTCCTATTTCTGCTAACCTTCTGGCAGTTGGCAGACATTTTCACTCAGGCACGCCTTTGGAAATTGCATGTCTTGAGCTATAACATTTTAATCAATGTGGCGACTCTCATTTTAAAAGTAAACTATTGTTAACCTTTATTCAAATAGTTTAAAGTAATACAATTTTAATTCTAACATTATAATGAACTTAATTCTATTTTAACAGTTATAAATCTGTAATATTTTAATTTTCTGTCACTTTCCAACAATATTGCATGCTACCTTAAGTTCCAACATTAGGGGAAAGAAGAGTACATAAATTCAATAAATAAATAAAATATTAAATGCAGTGTCATGCATTCTATAGGTGCATGCAAAAACTAACAAATCTTACCAATCAAAATGAAAGCCCGAGTGCCAAATTTTAACTATGGAACTATGCAACCTTGGGCCAGGTGCTCCCTCAGCACTTGAGCTACCTCACCGGGTTGCTGTGAGGCTCGATGTGGGGAGAAAGATAATCTTGAGCTTGTTAAAAGAGTAAGATAGGTGGGTATAATCAACAAGACAAAATAAATGTATTTATCCTCTACTCCTAGTGCCCATGCGCTGCAGCAGCTGCACATTTATTCTCCTGTTTTAATAAAAATGCTCATAGCACTCGTTGCCGTTCGGAAGCAGGCTGGCAAACCAACATCCTTCTCCCACACACAACCCTCTCCCAGGGTTGACGAGCCACCGACGACTTCCCGTCGCTAGACAACAGAGGCCCGCCGCTTCCATAGAGATCATTATATAACCCACGGCTGCGGCCCTGCGACTCCCGAGGCTCCCGCTCAGTCTCGCGAGAACCAGCCCTCCTCCTCCTCCTCCTCTGAGCCGCCGCCGCCGCCGCCACCGCTGCCGGCATGGCTCTCCTTCTCCCTACTTAGGCACCGGGCATGGAGGGAAGCGACGGCTGCGAGGAGAGCCTTTTCTCCCTAGAGCTGTTGGTGGAGTCGGCGCGGGTGGAGCCGCGGCTGCTCCCGATGCCTCTGCCCGCCTGCGGCCCTTTTCGTCCCGCGGTGGCTCTGCGCCTCTTGGACTTCCCGACCCTGCTGGTGCGCGCCCCGCACGCCGCGCCGGGGCCTGTGGTGCCCTTCGGCCGGGGCAAGTCGTGCCTCTTCAGGCTACGGCCGGCCGCCTTGAAGGACCTCCTGAGGCGCTCTCCGCTCTCGGCGTTGCTGCTGGCGCTGCCGCCCACGCCAGGCCCTGCCCGCCTCCTGGGCTCCTGCAGTGTCTCCTTGGCCTCCGCCGCCGAGGAGTTGCTGCTGGGGACGGGTCCTGGGGGGCGAAGGGGCCAGTTCCCGCTACAAGACCTGATGGGGGAGCAAGTAGGGGAGCTGGGACTGAGCTACCGGCTGACCAACCTGGGCATCTCCCTCCTGGGGCACTTAGGGGAAGGAGCGGCCCCAGAGCAGCCCCACCCCAAGCAGGAGCGACACCAGGAATTCTCCCGCACACTGGGCAACCAAAGCAATGTACGAGCCAGCCTGGAGCTCATCCCAGAGGGGGATGAAGATCAGGAGCCTGCCTTGGAAGGTGGCAGCCAAGCGTCCTTAAGCAGCCCTCAGATAGAGCGACGCTCCAACATGTCTGGCCTTGGGGAGGGAGTTCGAGAGCTAGAGATTGAGGCCAATGTCTTTTGCCCTCCACCAATGTTCTACACCTGTTCAAGTGAAAATCCCCATCCCAGGTCTAGGTCGCCAGCACCTGCAGTAGTGACAGTGGCACCAGCGCAAAACACTTTTCCAGGAGAAGAAATCAAAGTTCCCTCCCCTGTGCCTCTTACTAAGGAAAAACCTTCAAGTATTATCCAGGAGGTAACCCCATCACCCCAGATACTTGGCAGCCCTGAGCAGCTCAGACAAACTTTGAACCAGCTGCCTCTTTTGAATGCTTTATTGGTAGAGCTCTCCTTGCTGAACAAGCAGCCTCCACAAGCACAACCATTTTCTGTGCACCCTCAGTTAGCATGGCTGTATAAAAATGCAGAAGAAGGCACAAAATCACCACCTCCCATTGCCAAGAGCACATGTCCTTACCATGAAGAGAAAAAAACTACTCATCGCAAAGAGAGGGGAAGGTCAGCTAGCCCCAAGTTAAAAAGAAATCGCCCAGATCATTTAAAGTGCATCTCTCCCTCCTTCCAAGTCAACTGCCCTAGTAAAGGATTCACAAAACTGACATACTCTGAAAGGCTTGGTGGCCCTGAGAAAAACAATACTAAGGAAAACTCTCCCCCTAGAAGAAAGCTTACTTATGGTCTTACAAATACTTTAAAACTTCGCTTGCTGCGGTCCAATCCAGGTATGTTAAAAGTTCATGAAAAAAGAGAACTTCGAAGAAAAAAACAAGGAGACGTAGTTGAAAAGAAAGGTAAAAGCTCTTCAGCCAAAGGCAAACTACTCCATGGTTCTCCTGAGCGCCATGCAAAGTCTTCTGAGCACTTGGATGAAAAAAGCATCCCAGAGGAAAAAGCTCAAATTAATGAAAATGTGGAGACTTTAATACAAAACAGTGTTTGCCATGATTGCCCTACAAGCAAGAAAGTTGCAGCTAAAGCTGTGAAAAACAGTGAAAATGGGAAACAAAATACATCAATTGAAGTGGTTGGCTCTGCTTATGAAGAAAAGCATTTCAAAGTCCATCTGCCAAGAGTCTTTTTGCAGGATGCTGAAACTCATGAGAATAAAATAGACACAGAAGTAGTAAAATATGTACAGCATAGTGATTCTGATGTTTCAGTCATACATATCGATACCCAGAGCAACAACTGTGAAAGTAGCCGTGAAGTTAAGAATTTGGAGGAAGTCCATGCTAATTCTGAGAGTGCTGCCTATTCAGAAGATTTCACCGGTGATGACAGTTCGGGCACAAACTTGGAAGCGCAAGAGAGTAGCCATGAGCCTTTGTTGGTAAACCTAGATCAAAGCCAGTCCATCATGGATTCAGATTCTAAAATATCTGAAAGAAGTTTGGCTGATGAAAGCATTTCATCTCTTCTTCCAATACCTTCAGCTATGTCACCTGTCCATTATCTTAAAAAGACCTGTGATTTAAAATTGAATGGGAAAAAACCTACTGTTTCTTTTGACAAATCTATTGATGATTCCCCTCCTGCAAGGATGTTAAAGGAGGGACTAGGCATTGAACAGATCAGGAAGGAAAGGAGCAAAGATGAGCAGACCTTGGAGACTAAAGAAGTGTACTCTGATATGAGATGTAGCATAGCAAAAGACCAGTCATCTGCAGAAAAGAGCAATTCACTAAGGACATCTCAGGTTAGCTCTTATTTACCGTCCAATGTATCTGACCTTGATCTTAGTGGCTTAGAAGAAAGCAATGCATCTGAAAAAGAAAAAGAGGATGACTTTGAGATGGTGGATATTGCTAATCAGTGTAAACATATCAGTGAATTGGTAGTAAATAAACTTCCTGGGTATACAATGTAGTTATCAATAACAATGACTGGATCAAAGTGAAAATGTCTTTATTCTATAAGCAAGCATTTTACAACAATCTTAGTGTTTCACAAATGCAAATTTTGTTGTATAAGTAATGCATTTAGAAATGTTCGATTGGTATCTTTAGATTAATGAACAATCTAGAGACTGTATGATATGTGTTAATCTGCACAATTAAAATACATATTTTGGAGTTTCACTCACATATATAAGCTTGTATACCTGCAGATGTTTTGTTCCCAAGCCATATCCTAGTAAGTTTTGAAACTTCAGAGACTTGAAAGGTACTTTCCAGTTTAACACCTAGAAGCAGCTAGAGTTTATGCAAGAAGAAAAGTCTGTTTCCATGTCTGGTATTTGCATGGCAAATTTAATTTGAGAGAGTGAAAATAACATAGAATATTATCTAACAAAATCTCACTTCATATGCGAATGAATGCCTAATTCATTTATATGGCTGATTTATCTGTTACTCTCAGTGATGGGACAGTGTGAGTTCAGGTCTTGAACATAAAATAAGCTTCCAGAGGAAAAAAAGCAGGAGGTTGTTTTCTTTGGTAGACAGCAAAGAGTGGCAGAAGAATACTTGCAAAAGTCACCTGATCCCTTGCCAAGATGAGTGCACTTTAGCCATGACTACCAGTGTTGATGAGAGGCACATGCATTTTTTCACAGAGATAATGTATGACTCATTCCTTATGTATGCGTGTCTGTTCAGGTATTTTTAAAAGGTTCTGTGCAAATACACTTGTGCTTTTGGTGCAAAAATGCAAGCAAAGCCATTAGATAATACTTCAAAGAGAATATCTCTGCACTAAAACTAAAAGGGTTGGGTGAATGATTTGAAGAAAATTAGACACTGGGAGGAAGATTTATTTATGCACATGCAAGAGTCCCACTTAGAGCCTTACTTGAAAGGGAAAAGAGTTTTAGCTGCATGCTACCTATTTAGCATATTGCATATTTAGTCCTAAATTCAGTGTGTAAAGCTTTCAGTGTGTGGCTTTCAGTGACTTGTTGCCAGGTGTGGGTTTTGCCATGCTGTTGCAAATGGTTTTATGTACTTGAGCTGGTAAGTAAAAAGTCAAATCTTGTGTATGACAATCATTCAAAAAATTCACCTTGCACTAAATGACTCGTCACCGCTCAGACAGTTGTATAAATTGGTATTCAGTTCTTTCTTGTACTACCTTCTTGCACATAAAGTGTTTTTGTATGACTACACCAGCATCCAGTGATTTTCTGATAATTAAAACAGTGTGAATGTAGGCAAATAAGGCATAGAAGCTACACATTTTAATGAATAAACAGCAAAAGATTTGTTTTCTTTATGTGTAGCACAAACAAAACAAACCTTTGTGGCACATTTAAGTCTAACACTTATTTTAGTATGAACCTGGATTATAATCTGCATCTTCAATACTGAGACCATGGCGTACACAATGTCCTGAAGAAGTGGATTATAATTTGTGGACATCCATCCTAAAATGAATCTCTTAGTCTTAGAGGTGCCGCAAGACATTGTCATTGCTGTGAATTCATGCTAAAACATATTAACATAGATACCTCTTTGAAAAGTAATTATTAGAAAACTGTAAGAGGAGGAAACCTGTTATGATATGATCATGAATGGTTTTTACACACATGCACCAGATTTTACTAATCACTCTTACATTTATGTAACAGGAATTATTGAACTGTCTACACTAAATAAGATGCATCCTGATACTTTCTGCTTAATCTGAGTGGCTGGAGTTTTGTGATAAAGTATTATATGCAGTCATATCAGTTGGACTAAAACACAAAAAGGTGAAAAAAACTACTTAAACTACAGTCCTGTACTCACTTGCATGGAAGTAAATCTCACCAAACATAGTAGGGCTTATTTCTGAGAAGACAGAAATAAATTCTTTAGCTAATTGTAGAAATGGGAAATACTGTACTTAAGGACATTGAATTGAGTGATGCATTTGAACAAAATGGCTGTTAGTGCATCACTGCAAGCTGTGATTGCTCTGATGTTTGTATAAAAATACAAATCATTTTAAGTTTCATTAGAAGAATAGTTTATCTAAAACATAAGTAACACTAGTATGCTACACAAAGTATTTCTGTGAAGAGTCTCAGTCATACAGGTGTGGTTACCTGGAAGTTGAGTCGTGGCAGTTGACATGACTTGGCTTCCAGTTACACAGGGTAGATTTCAGTATTCTTTTTTCCAATATGATAAGATTCTTACAGGGAGAAGGGATAAATAAATAATAAAGGAATATAGATTAAAATAAGTAATTAAGCAACATTATAAAATAAAAATATAGAACAATAGAGTGGATTAACTGGAGGGAGGAAAATTTCAGTTAAGTTTGGAATGGGCTAGTAGCATTAAGAATGCTATACAACTAAACTGGGGAGTATCTGGTTTCAACATGTTGGACTAACTAGTTTTGGAGGACATAGCCGTGTTAGTCTGTGCTGCCATATCAGGCAAAATCTAAAGAATCAAAACACAACCAAGACAAAAATATAGGGCATCTTAACTATTATATTTTAATGTAAGCTTTTGTGGATACGGCCACTTTGTCAGAAATGAAAACAATGAAATGTTGAATGAAATACCAGTTTAACAAGTAAAACATTCTAAATACTCATTGGCTCTTGGTATGGTACATCGACATGGAGTAATTTATATTTTAGGGTACTGTTGTAAACTATCATGTAGAATTTAATGCTTCAATTGTATAAGGAAGTCTGCATGTGCATTAAGTCAGGGGTCCCCAACTCCGGTCCGTGGGCTTGCTGGAACTGGGCTGCGGAGACGGATCTCGCCCCTCCCCCGCACAGTTAGCATGTCGCACTCACATGCGTGCGAGCGCGACCCCCCTGCAAGTGTGGGGGGGCCCCGCACACAGAGCCCGCCCCCCCCAACCGGTCCGTGGTCCCAAAAAGGTTGGGGACCACTGCAGTAAGTGTTCAGGTTTTTTACTTTTGTTGATGGTCAAATTATTTTGCAACTATCTTGTAATAAAAAAGTGATTAGGTACAAGTAGGATTCAACAGACTCCACCAGGCTTTTGATTAGGTACTGAAACACTAATAGTGGCAGGCTGGGTTTAGAAGTTTGAGGTCACCTTTTGTATTATGCTGTGTTTTCTATAGTTTGTTCTTCCCAATCTCTTGTTCTTTATCAAGATTTCCTTGTATCGAATCCAAGTAATTCTGCATTTCTTAGATTTATTAGCTTCTGTATTTTAAATATGTAGAACAAAATGCCACCCAAGAAGTGAGATATTTCCACTAGAAGTTGGTTTAGATTTACAAATAGAGCTGTTTAGATGTCTTGGGCCTGCTTGGTTAACAAGGTGTGTTATAGCTCCATTTCATTAGAATTGTTATTTTAAAGCAAGAATATTTTATGAAATATTTTTAACACTGAGAAATTCCAGTTTCTCATATGTTTTCCTTAGTTTTAAAATGGGATAGTTGGATATTTTATAATTTAGGGTTTTTTTGTTTTTTGTTTTTACGTGTGCTAGTGGACTACTTTTATCCAGTCAAATAATTTTCAGCTGACTCTGGGAACATCTTCCATATACATAAACTGAACTGTAAAACAACCCATTTAAAAATATTTTCAGACACAGTGCTGCAAGCCAGTATACCATGTCATTTTTAGAGGGCCCTCAGATTCTTAGGAGCAGCATTTTGCAGGGTGCAGCCATAAAATAGACGTAAAATCTGTTCCAAGGACCAAACTCAATTTATATTAAGGATCCAAGGTTCCGTACAGTGAAGCATTTTTGGCAATACTGTAATAAAGCAAAATAATGCATATCACAGAGTTCTTAGCATGGTATACTCATTGCTTTGCTGGAATCCTTTGGAGTAATATTCTCAGATTCTGTAATGCTAGAGGATTTATGGAGAAAGAAACAAAACTAATGGTGTAGTATCAAAAGTGCAATCCAGAAAGGATAAGCTGTGTTTAAATTTCACTTAAATTAGTGGGGCTTTTGCACAACTAAGGCCAGAATTGTATTGATAGTTCCACCGAGAATAGTATTAATGGGATTCATGTTGACTTAACATTCAACAGTTGATTCAATAGGTCTATTTGAATAGGAGCTAGTGTTTTGATCACATACTAATACAGTGGTGCCTTGCATAGTGACGATAATCCGTGCAGCAAAAATCTCTGCAAAGTGATTTCGTCGCTATGCAAAAATAAAAAGCGCATAGGAATGCATTGAAACCCCTTCAATGTGTTCCTATGGGCTTAAAACTCACCTTAAAGCGAAAATCCTCCATACGGCAGCCATTTTTGCCGGCAATCGTAAAATCTTTGCTAAGCGGTTTCGGCGTTAAACGGGGCGCCCGTTAAGTGAGGCACCACTGTACTATTGTATTAGTACTGAGTGCTCACTGGAAGGACAGATCCTGAAGCTGAGCCTCCAATACTCTGGCCATCTAATTAGAAGAGAAGAGTCTCTGGAAAGGACCCTGATGTTGGGAAAGTATGAAGGCAAGAGGAGAAGGGGACGACAGAGGATGAGATGGTTGGACAGTGTCACCAAAGCTACCAACATGAATTTGACCCAACTCCGGGAGGCAGTGGAAGACAGGAGGGCCTGGTGTGCTCTGGTCCATGGGGTCACAAAGCGTTGGACATGACTTAACGACTAAACAACAACAAATATTATTGTACCATAAAGACTAACAAAACAAGCATCTTGCCACAGGAAGATAGTAGTTAATGTATCTTGTGCTATGGAGGATCACAATACAGTAACTATTAGTATTTATCACGCAACAAGTTTCCATGTTTCAAATATGTGTCACATATGGTTATTGTTTCATAAATGTTTGTAGGCAAAATAACAACATTGGATGTCTGAGATAGACTGAAATTATGGTAGGAAAACATACAAATTGACTAAGGTAAGAAAAAAGTGTAGTAGGATAATCCAGCATTACTCCTAATTTAGATAGTTCTGTAAAATCAGGGGGATTTATTTAGCTATTACTAACAAGTCTCATTTATTTTTCTGATTCTACACCCTGTAGGACTAACACTAGATTTAACCCAAGGTAATTAACTGCTGAGTGTTGAAGTGCTATGTATAGAACCTAAACATGCCTTATTTTGAATGCTAAACTCTTGGCAATATTAAACATGAATAAACTATTGCTATTTGTAGTGAGTGTTACGTACATTCATTATAGAATTCTGGTATGTGTTCTTTTTGCATTACAATCTCATTGTAAAGAATAAACTATGTCATGGTAAGGAAATTTACAATGCAAATTAGGCAGTGTTTGTCTTTTTACCCGTGAGCCACATTATATAGTATTATATTATTTTTCAAGATAATATGTTTTATTATGAGTGCCTAGTTATTAGCAGAAAAGATAAATGTTTTTGTAATATTCCTGCTGTTCTTTTTCCTTACATTTGGAGAAGGCTTTCTCCAGACATGTCCTATTAGCCCAGCATATGTTTATCTATAACCTCTTTATATTATGTGCTGTTTTAAATCCATGGTTTTCTGCTGCAGATGATTTCTGCTTGCCTACAGCTAACCAGTGACATGTGCACATGTTTTTGATCATTTATTGTTCTTATTTTTCTGTAGCTATCTTCTAAATATTTAATTCAGGTTTTTTAGTGTGTGAACATGAAAATTGGGGGTTTCTTCCCTAATCACCTTTGCTGTTTGCTGTAGGCTAAAGTCAATTATCAGTCCTAACTAGAGTAGAGCAAGTGAAATAATGGGACTGTTAATACCTACAAAAGTCACATTGATTTGGCAGGTCTACTGCAGCAGATTACAAGGTTTAACCTTCTAAATTGCGTATGTTTTATTTTTCTGAAATCAATGGAACAAATTAATAATTTTTCAAACCTCACTTATTAATATGGGTGGGGATTAAGCACAACCAATTTCAGTTAGATTGTTTTTCTTTAAAAGTCAGATAATCTTAGATAATCACCTGGCAGATATGCTTTGGTTGTATTCCTGCATTGAGCAAGAGGGTGGACTTGATGGCCCCTTCCAACTTCACTTTTCTATGATTCTATGATTTTTCTCAGCCATT